TCCTGGATTACCCAGGTGGGCCCGACGCAGTCACAGGAGTCCTTAGGAGAGGGAGGGAAGAGGGCCAGCTGTAGAGAGGTTGGCTTCCGAGACTGGAATGATGCAGACCATGAGCCCAGGAATGTGGGGGTTTCTGGGAGCTGGAGAAGACAAGGGAAGGACTCCCCACGGGAACCACAGTGGGGGCGCCGCCCGCAGGCCCTTTTCTATTTGTGACCCTCAGTGCCGCAAGATAACAGATACGTGCTGTATGAAGCCACCACGTCTGGCGACATTTTCACTGCAGCAATCGGTCACAATACACTTGGTTTGTTTTCTGATTGTTCTAGAAGTTCCTGTTCTGGTGGCTCAGGCCAGGGTTCTCTCTGGCTTCTGAGAGCCTCGGTGTTTTTTGGGGGGGGCTCAGCTGGACTCCGGAATGGTTGCAGGAAACTTGTTGGCTCTCGGAGTCCCACAGGCAGCCAGCAGTCAGGGGTCCAGCCCTGAGGGCCTGTGGTCAAGAGGGGAGGTGCTCAGGCCACACCAGCCCGGAGGGCAGGGATGCCCCCCGCTGCCCACTTTGCTCCTTCCTCCCCCCTGTGGACCCCAAGCCCAGCAGACATGTGGCCCGGTGCCCTTGTCAGGCTGCAGTGTTCCCAGAATCCCCTGAGGCAACCCCACTTCTCCTAGCTGCAGCCTCGAAGGGGCCATTGTGGTCTTCATGTTCCAGTCGGACACAGAGGCCGAGAGGTCCAGCGCCCTGTCAAGGACCCCGCACTTCCCACTCTCCAGCCAGAGCTCTGCTCTAAGCACCTCTCCACAGGCCCCGTAAGGTAAAATGCCTCCTGAGACAGCCCCGCTGGACAGATGCCCTCAGGGACACACCCAGACACCTGCCCGCCTCAGTGGGCCCAAGCCCATCCTCACCCATGTCCAGGGCTCCCCACCTCTCCATCCCTGTGGCTGCAACAACCATTTTTCTTGGCCATTTATAGCTCCTGTGTTTTCACCCAGAGCTTTAACAAAAATCCATGAGCTGGGGAGACATCCATTCTGGTGCTGGCAGAGAAAAGCTCCTCTGGGTGTGCGTGTGTGTGTGTGTGCGTGTGTGTGTGTGTGTGTGTGTGTGTGAGTACAGATGGGAAGGAGGGGAGGGACAGAGCATTGCAGATGACTGTCGGGAAGGTGTGCCAGGTAGAGGAGACCCCACAAGCAAAGCCCCTGAGGTGGGACCAGGGCTAACCATGACACAGAGTGTTAGAGAGACTTCCTCTCTCTCTGCCTTTTTCTCTCCCCAAATTGACAAGCACAAGTGTCGCCTGCCCAAGCACCATGGAAAGCATGCAGCATCTCTCCCATGACCCAGCCGCTGTCTCTTTAACCTTGAATGCATTTTTGGGTCTCACGTGTCACCCACCCCGTGGCAGTGGCCGCCAGTGAGCTGCCCTGACTTCAGAAGAACGGCATGGGGTGGGGGGGCCTTAGGTGGCGTCCGCTCACCTATCACTGCCAAAAGTGGTCATGGGGTTATTTTTAAACACAGGGAGGAAGTATTTATTGTTCCCAGGCTGGGAAGAGCTGGGCAGTGCGTGGGATTCTACTCGGGAAGTAGACCTGTGTCCGTCCACCATGGTGAGTACCTCAGATTTCCAGGGGATGATGCTGGGGGCAGGGAGGGCAGGAAGGGGATGCCACTAGCTTCAAGCTGAGGACCAAAGCAGAGAGGGGGAGAGATAGCTCCCACAGACTGTAGCCCCCCATGGAAAGAGCACTGTGCGCCCTGCACGCTCAGAGGGACCCCAGTCAGTGCCCTGAGTGGCCATAGCTGACAAGCAGCTCCCAGGAACTCACAGAAACAAAATAAAAGAGTTGGCTTTTTTTATGTCTCGTCTGCTGACCTCTCGAGGAATCAATATCTCCCGGGGCTTGCAAAATGGGATCGAGCGCTCTTAAGGATCAAATTGTAATTCTTTTCTCTGGTTCAGGCAGCTGGGGAAAAGAATCTTTTCGTTTTCACCTTTTGAACTTGCAAACTTAAATCCTTCCCTCCCGTACTGTTGGGCAAGTGTTCCCCTCCCAGAAGAGGCAGCCCCCAACTCAGGGCACGGTGGGTCAGTGGTTAGGGGCACAGACTCTCGAGTCAGACTGTCCAAGTTCAACTCAAGGTCTGCCTTTTTTGTGGCTGTGCCGTCTTGGGCAAGTGACCTACCTTCTCTGAACCTTAGTTGCCTCCCCTGTGAAACAGGGATGGTAATAATAGCATCTACTTGACAGAGCAGTTGGGAGAATTAAATGAACTGGTGCATGTGTCGTGTTTAAGCAGTTGCTGTTATTTAAAGTCAGAGAGAAGTGGGTTTGTGGGGGGTAGTTAATTCCTTCTTCTCCACACTGTTGACATGGTACAAGGATGGGACATTTAGGAAGGCGATTTCACTGCCATTTGGATCAAGGGAAAGTTGTGGGGCGGGGAGCAGATGGGTTGTAACGTCCTAGAAGGGCGTCATTTCATCTCAGCACTCCTGATGGCTTGGTGAGCCTGACTTTTTCCTTCCCTCCAATCGATTCTTCTCATGTGCTGTCCTGAGGATGGGTGCCACCTGGCTGATCTGCAGGTGTGGCCTCTGACCCCAGACCAAGCCGGCTCCCAGCTTGCAGAGGAGGGGCCACAAGAGCCACGGTTTCTTGCAATAGGCCAGAAACTACTTCCAGGCCTCTCCCCGTCCAGCAGCACCACGAGATGAGTGGGGCCCCTTGTCACGGCAGCCACTGAGCAGGCCCAGCCCTCACCCAGGGTGGCCTGGTTTTCTAATTCCCAGCCTCTGCCTCCTCTAATCGATGCTCTTCTCCCCAGTCGCCTAAGAAAGCCAAGAAGAGGGCAGAGGGGGCCAACTCCAACGTGTTCTCCATGTTTGAACAGACGCAGATCCAGGAGTTTAAGGAGGTGGGTGAGCTGGCCAGGCAAGGCCCTGGGTGGAAATCTCAGCCAGAGACAGGCCCTCCTGCCTTCCCTGCTCCCAGCAGGGACCTTTCTGTCCTCTGAACATCCAGGTTCAGTGGGAATGTGTGTGGGAACCTTTTAAGGAGGTCATCTTTAAAAACTTCTGCTGATCATCCAGCTAAAACGTATTCCTGGTTGAAAAACTTTTTTTAGAAAAGCACCTTCAATTCTACCCCTTGGAAATAATCAGTCCCTGTGTCAGGATATAGCCTGGGAGTCATCTTTGTGACGTGTGTATCTACTGATCAAAGTTGCACCCCCATAAGTGCCTACATTTTTTTTCCTTTGAGCACTTCAGTGTCAGCATTTTCCTATATCTAGTTAAATGACTTCTTGGTGCATTTGTTTGGAATGTTTTATTATCATAAAGATCACCTCATTGCTCCTATCTCTGATGATTTCCTGGGGGTGAATTCCCAGCAGCAGAACCCCCAGGGTGCAAGGAACTTAAAGAAAGAGAGAGGGGGAGGCGGGAGGGGAGGGGGAGGAGGGGCAGGAGGGGGGAGGAGGGAGGAGGAGGAGGGGCAGGAGGGAGAGAGAGGAGGGAGGGGGAGGAGGGAGAGGGAGGAGGGAGGGGGAGGAGGGAGGGGGAGGAGGGAGGGGAGGAGGGAGGGGGAGGAGGGGGAGAGAAAGCGAGCAGAGCTGCTGGGGCAAACCCCAGTCCAGAATCCTATACTACGAATCCCTGTCCCCACGGCCCCAAGAAGAAACTGCCTTTCCCCCACATTTCCATCAATATTGGGTAATTAGATAGCAATAGTCAACTTTTTTTCCAACCTGAGAGGGAAAAGCAGCATGTTCTGAGCTTTAAAACCTACAGTCTTTGCAAAATGTGTCCTTTTTAGTTATGTGCACCACCAGGGTGCACCCTGACATTATCACAAAAGCAGGGAACCCAGCCCAGCCGCTTCAACTCTGTCCAGCACCCCCCACACACACCCCTCTTAATCCATTTAGTTTCTTTTCTTTTTTAATCAGCATCCCATGTGCCACACCCTCGATGCACATACCCAGCTTCAGTTGGATCCTCCCTCCTCAGTCCCTTTGTCTCCTCCACTGACTTTCCCTCTGTTTTGATGAAATTCCCTCTCTGTTTCTTTTTATATACCCCCACCCCCACCCCACCCCCCATTCTATGTACAGTCTGATGACGGAGCACCAGCTCTGTTGGACGTGTGGTCCCACCGTGGGGACTACTAAGCAAACCTCAGGACAGTCGGGCAGGACGCAGCCACTGCCCACGGGCTGAGAAGGACAGACTGCATTAATGTCCAGCAGCAGTGAGGGCTCGCACTGGGCCAACCACACGCCCACTTGGCCCTGGGGAGGGAACATGCTGAGAGACCAGGTTGGGGCTCGCAGACAGGAGCATTCAGATTTGCTGGCAGGCCGGTCCCATGGGCCACCAGGAAAAGAGGGATACAGTGCCACCATCCAGGGGCAAGGCCACCCCCAGCTCCGTCTCCCCACCCTGCCCCACCCTGGGCTGAGGTCAGCTGCTGGGGGGGGGGGTGGCGGGCACAGCAGGTGCAAATACTTCCAGAAACCAGCTGTAGGAAAGCACTCAAAAAGCGTACCCTGAAGCCCCATTTGTGACATGCCTGAGCGATTACAGAGCTCTGGGCGTCTCCCTGGGGTCAGCTGGGGAGGTGACCGGCCTACCCTGCTTTACAGATGGCCCCCGGCATGGGAGTGGGGAGACCACATGAGACTCCAGGATTTCACCTAAAAAAAAAAAAAACCCCAGCAGTTTCATGGAGGTGTAATTCACATATCAGGATGTTGGCCTCTTCAGGTGAAGGGTGCCATTCGTGTTTTTTTGTTTTTTTTAAGAGAGAGAGAGAATTTTTTAATATTTATTTTTTAGTTTTCGGTGGACACAACAACTTTATTTTATTTTTAAATATCTTTTTTTTTAAGAGAGAGAGAATTTTTATTTATTTTTTTTTTAGTTTTTGGCAGACACAACATCTTTGTTTGTATGTGGTGCTGAGAATCGAACCCGGGCCGCATGCATGCCAGGCCAGCGTGCTACCGCTTGAGCCACATCCCCAGCCCTCATTCGTGGTTTTTATTAAGGTCAGGAGGTTTCCACTGTCACTGCTCTCCAATGGCAGGACACTCCCATCACCCTCAAAAGAACCTCAGTCCTGTGAGCAGCCCCTCCCACCTGCCCCCTGTGGCTGTGCCTGGGCTGAGTGCAGAATATCCCAGAAGCCTGGGTGCCCCAACCCTCAGCCCAGCCTCCTGGACTGACCAGCCGGTCCCTTCCCTTCCACAGGCCTTCACCATCATGGACCAGAACAGGGATGGCTTCATTGACAAGAACGATCTGAGGGACACTTTTGCCGCCCTTGGTATGTCACCTGCCAGCCACTGGCAGGTCCCTTGTCCCATAGCCCCCGGGTGGGAGGGGAGACCCTCAGAAAATGCCAACAGCTTGTCCTTTCCCAAAGAAAGACGGCGCCACAACTGACCTTCAGACAACTTCAGAGGAGGGGACAGACGCTTTCCCACACCTTTCAGTTTTCTTAGGAGCAGCTCCAGCGCGGCCAGCTCTCACTAGAAAGCAGACATTCTGCAAAACATACGGGAGAGGACGACGGTCCCCCGAAAGGCCACATTCCGCATTAACCTTTCAGTTTCTCTCTTGGAGTCTTTCTAGGCATATCTGTTGTTTTTTTTTTTCAAATAACTGGGATCGTTCTATTCTGGACTCAGCTTTATTTAACATCTCGAGGGTGTGATCGGGAGAGCACGGAGCTTCTTTCAAAATATACGTGTCCAATCTGCCACCCCCACCCACCGCCACCGATCCCTATCCTCAGAACTCAGGGTCACCGCGAATAGCTACCCTAGCTTTTTATATCTAAAACAGAGACGGTCGCCAGGGGCAGCTTGTTCTTATTTGCATAGGGGGTTATAAAGGCATCAGCAGGACCAAGAGCAGGTGTGTCAGAATCTCCGCGACCCACTGAGATCCTGTCTCAAAAAAATAAGGACAGAAAGGGCTGGGGATGCGGCTCAGGGGTAAAGTGCCCCTGGGTTCAGTCCCCAGAACCAGCCCGTCCCCCCACGGGCTGTGGGGCTGCGCCTGGCTGTCCGGCCCACGGGGAGCATCTCCCCAGGGAACTCTGGCCCCGTCCTCCCCATTTCTGACTGTCTCTGGAGGAGATTCCTTGAGGCACAATGACAAATGTCAGCCGCTGTCCCTCTGCCAGCACTGAGGCCCCGTGTCCCCACTGCAGGGCGTGTGAACGTGAAGAACGAGGAAATCGATGAAATGATCAAGGAGGCTCCGGGGCCCATTAACTTCACCGTGTTCCTGACAATGTTTGGGGAGAAACTCAAGGGTAGGCCTGTGCACATGCTCCTGTGGGTGTGTGTGTGTGTGTGTGTGTGTGCACGCATGCATGTGCTCATGTGTGTGCCTCTTAGCATGTCTTCGGCTCTGGGTGTCAATTTAAGCACTAGATGGACAGGGCTGGGAGAAAGTGGGCAGCTCCCAAGGACACACCAGGGAACTGGAGGGAAAACAGGATAGAAATGTCAGCCGTCGTCCCTCCAAGGCTCATGCTAAGCACTTGGGTGCCTTACCTCATTGAGCAGCACCTAGGATGTAGGTTTCACTCTTTCCCCCCATCTGTGGGTGGGGAACCTAGGCTCAGAGACAGAAAGTCACTTGCCTGAGGCCACACAGCTAGCAGGGTTCAGAGTCAAGACCCACATCTTTCTGAAACCTAGATCAAACTTGACCTGCAGTTAGTTCAGACACACCTGGCCTCTCAGCCCTCTTTCAAAACCCCAGGCTCAGTGCCCAGAGGAAGGAAGGGTCTCCTCCTAGCTAGGCATGCAGGCTTGCTCTGGCCCCTCCATCTAGGAAGGGTCTTGGGCCCTGCGTCCTGGGTGCCACGGTCCCCAGCCACCTGCAGCACCTGTGGGCCCTGTTCTCCATTTCAGGGGCGGACCCCGAGGAGACCATCCTCAACGCATTCAAGGTGTTCGACCCGGAAGGCAAAGGGGTGCTGAAGGCCGACTAGTGAGTGGCTTCCCCAGGGGGCGGGTGGCGCCTGCTCTCCTTGCCCCCACCTGGCACCTACACCTCTGTCCTCTCTCTGCAGCGTGCGGGAGATGCTGACCACACAGGCAGAGAGGTTCTCCAAGGAGGAGGTAGGGTCCTTCAGACACTCCCTCCCACCCAGCGCCTGGTCCTCCCAGGGGCTCTGTCTCCGCTGAATCACCCGTCCCAGAGAGCGAGAGGGAGGGAGCCCTGGCTGCATTCATTCTCTCAGTCACTCTGTGAGGATCAGGATCATTGTCATTTTACAGATGAGGAAACTGAGGCCTGGGGAAGTAAGTCACTTGTCTAAAATGACAATGTTAATGGTGAATGCCAGAGCGGGTACCCACACCCAGGCCTGTCTGACTCCAGGTCCTGCCTTCCCCACATGCACTGAGACACCGTGAGAGCGCCCATTTACTGTGCCCTGAAGGGCCATCATGGACTGTCGGGCAACCTGAGCACTGATCAACACCCCCCCACACCGCACCTTCCTTCCTACAGGCATCCTAGATCAGGCTGTTGTTGCACACATTTCCCAGCAGGTGGCAGTAGTGAGTCCAGAAGAAGGGACTCTAGCTAATTTGCCAAAAGGTCCTCAAGGAGCAACTGTCATGTGAACATTAATAAGGAGCCTTAAGGAGTCCATTTAAAGTAGCCACCTTGAGGCCTCTGGAGCCCGTGTCCATCCAGTTCCCCATTTTGCTCAAAATTCTATTTACATTTTACCTACAAAACTCAAGCGATGAAAAGAGCGTCCTTCACCTCCCATCGGATGGGAGACCTGGGACAAGCTCCTTAACCTTTGTGCCTCGGTTCCTTCATCCGTAAGGTGGAAACAAGAGTGGAACGAACCTCGAGGTATTCTGTGAGGCTCAAACAGGCAGAAAGGAAAGCTCGGCTCTGGGACTGGGCGGCACCAGCATCAGCTGTATCAAGCGAACCAGTGACGCTTGCTAAGTGGGAAATCTAGTGTTTAGGACAGATCTAGAGTCCTAGTTTCCTTCGAAGACTCCGGCTTCTTGCCCGCGCGGCCACCCTCAGCTGGCCCACTGCGCACCCCCACTTAGCCACAGACCCCGCCAGGTGTAGGCTCCCTCATGTGACCCACCTGGCCCCTGAAGGGTCGCTGATCCCTCTGCTCCCCGTGGGGGCTGGGTGTCCAGGAACGTCCCAGCAGCTCGTCCACTTGGGGGGCTGGGATCAGCACCTGAGGAGGGAGGAAGGTGTGAGCTGAGATTCAGGGTCAGAGAGGGTCTCTACCTGGGACCTCCCTGCTGTGGGTCCGGCTTGGGCATAAGGCTGAGCCTTCACCCCCACACCAGGCCCCGGTGAGCTGCCCTAGAGCTGGCATGGCCTCGGGAGAGGGGACTCTGCACAGCGGCAGCTGGACCCCAAGCCCCAGCCTCGGGGGAGGCCAGGATGGCCATCCCACACCCCTGCAACCAGGGGCCTCTGCATCCGGGCCACGAGCCCCTCACCTAGCTCCAGCCCCTCTGTCTTGTTCAGCATCTTGCTGGTGTTTGCAGATCGACCAGATGTTCTCGGCCTTCCCCCCTGACGTGACGGGCAACCTGGACTACAAGAACCTGGTGCACATCATCACCCACGGGGAGGAGAAGGACTGAAGCAGGCCGGCCACCTGGGCTCCCGGTCTCCTTCCCAGTCAGCCTCTACCCTGCCTGGCCTCCACCCTGCCCCGCCTCCGTCTCCATCTGGATACTTACAGATGACCACGTGGCCACACAGCCTGCAGCTGGAAATCCATCCCGAGGCCAAGTTCAAATAAACAGGAGCTTGTGTGCTGGTCATGACGTTCCTCAGACAGAAGCGCCTTGGGAAAGGAGGGCCCTTTGCTGATCTGCACAAAGGCGGCATATGAGCTAGTGCTGACCCTTTTGTCCTTATCTTGAATCTTAGTGACTCTTTATTTGAGATAGACCTTTGCATTCACTTAGGACTGTCCCAATCAAGGGCCTATTAACTGGATACCACAGCCCTTGCTTCCCAACAGCTCAAGTGTTCATAGAGCCCGGCTTCATTACACCCTTCCTTCGGGAAAGCCATGGGGATCGTCTCCCAGAGGCTGCGATGGCCCGTGTGAGCGAAGAGGGCTAAGAACATGGCTCACCAGGCAAAAATCGTGCCTGTTAACCATAAGAGGGCCATTTCAGGTCAGATAAAGTACAAGTTGTACTTCTCTCCTAGCAAATTGGGGGAGGGGGGCTGATCTCTGCTCCTGTCTGGAGCCCAGGCCTGGGCTTGAGTTGACTCATGTTGAAGCACTCAGGTCTATTATGGCTGCAAGAATCCAAACTTAAGAAACAACTGGGTTCACAAAACCAGTAAGTCCAAGGACTTCAGGCACAGCTGCCTCCAGGAACTCAAACAATGCACCCAACCCTGTGGCGGCCTCCCCACAGCTCTTTCTTGTAGGTTGCTCTGCTCTCAGTGATGGCAAAATGGCTCTCAGCAGCTCCCAGCTCTTCTACCCACTCGGCAAACTTCTGTCTTCCCAGCCTCACACAAGTATTGAATAGGTCCTTCCTGGGGTCTCTCTGGGGTACCTGATCCAACCCTGAGCTAACTGCTGGGGATTGGCCAGTGCAGTGCTCTGATTGGCAGGCCTGGGTCACCTGATCAGCCCTCTGCCCTCGTGGCCTGAGGATGGGGGGACAACTCCCCCAAGGACCACAGAGGAGAAGGGAAGGGGGTTCCCAGTGAGGGAATCCCCAAGAATAGGGACAAGGCCGGGGTGAATGGTGACAAAGCAGCAAAGATCCCCGCTTGTGAGACAGTGGAGCTGGGGACACGTGCAGGGAACAAAGGGTCCCAGAGGCTGGAGGAGCCAGGTGGGACTGTCCCTGCAGCTCCTGATGTCACCCTGGATGCTGGGAGCTGGGGCCACCTACAAAGCCATCCAGTGCTGGGGGTGGGGCAGGACCCAGGGCATTCAGGGCCTGTGTCAGCCCACACCCTGCCACAGTGTGTCCCCCATGACCTCCCAGTCTTTCCAGAGAACCTGTGCTGGGCCCCTGCAGGGACAGGCAGCCCCCGTGGCTCAGCTCACCCAGGAAGGCAGAGGGTGGCTCAGGCAGGACAACCGGGATGGGGCTGTGAAGTGACAGCTGACCGGGGAGAGGGACAGAGAGGTGTGCATGCGGGCGCACAGCCCCTGACATGGGCATGGAGCCCCGGATTGGAGACTCATGGGCGACACACAGGCCGGCCCCCTGCTGCGCCTCTGGCCACCTGCTCGAAGGTCCACGGCAGCACTGACCCCCGGTCCCTCTCCTGCGGCGGCCCTGGGATCGGGCCTTCTCACCCCCACCTGCCTGGGCCCAGTGCCCGCTCCCTCAGCAGCCGAGAAGGAGAAGGCACCGAGGCATCGAGGCACTGAGGTTAGGAACAAAACCTTTATTCTTTCGGTTGGTCGCGCCAGCCTCGGGCTTCGCTTGGTGAGGCTGTGGGCCCGCCAACTTCCTTCTGGGCATAATTGTCCAGCACCAGCTGCCGCAGGCTGCCGTGATCCAGGGGCTGCTCCACTGCAGAGGGGGAACACTTATGAGCAGGTGGCTCTGCCCTGCTCACGGGCACCTGAGGCAAGGAGACCCGAGCCTGGCTGGGTACCTCTACAACACTGGGGGGTGGGGCGTGAGAATCCTCAGGGCTGGGAAGGGAACCACTGGCAGAGGTTGCTTCCAGGGATGTCCAGACAATCACTGTTTCTCCTCCCGGATAAGAATGTCAAGGGTGTTTGGTTAATATCAAAGAGACAAGGCTGTGATGTGCAGTTGTTCAGGATATGCACTGCACAAAGAGGCCAGGGGTGAGTGGAGGGGCTGAAAGTCAACTCCTATTTGATTGCCAGGTCATGTCTATTCAGAAGGGCACCTTTCCCAAATTAACCGGCCCACAAGTGGCACCCCTTCTAATCCACACCCATGGTGCAGCCACACTCCCTTGGACAGAAGAAAAGACCTCATCTGTGAGTCCCTGACAGTACACTGAGGCGGAGGGATGGAAAGACCAGCCTCAGCAACTCAGCCAGCCCCTGTCTCAAAATGTAAAGGGCTGGAGGAGGAGCTCAGTGGTAGAGC